TATTCAGCTCAGACACAAATTACAGCAAAATCCAAGACATACACAGGCTAGAAACAGTTGTTCTTAGTAAAATTCATTTATACTGAATAATTAAGACTGTCAGACAGTAAAAAGCAGCTAGCACCTTTGGGCAAGCAGGTAGTGAGAACTCTGATACCCAATTAGCACGTGAGGAACAAAGGAAGAAAGGATCATTAATTTCTTTTAGAGAGGCAGGGGTCGGTGAGAAAACCAAATGAGTCTTGAGTTCCTATGTTTGACTTTGATGTTTAACAAGGTATAATAAGGTAGACATTGAATACTTTTGGTTATTTTTATTTTCTTTTATTCATGTCATGTCAGAAAGAGAAAAACCTGATGTCAAATTTGCGTATACAGTTTTTCTTGAGACCTTCTGCTGTTGAGTGCTGGAACGGGTTAACATTTCCAGCTGAGCAGCTGTTCAGCTCCTTTATCCCAGAGCAGCAGTCATTTGTACTTCAGAAATGGCTGTACACGGTAACCCATCCAGTAACATGTCACTTACATGAAATACAAACAAAATGCTGGTGGTTTGAGGGTTTTGTTTGATTTTTTTTTTTCCCCACTTAGATGAGAATTTTTTGTTCAGTTCTTTCGGTACTTTCCACCATCAATAACAACTGAGACATGGAATTTTCTGCCAGGGAGTGAGCGGTCTCCAAGGTAACAGGGACACTGAGCTGCAGTCAAAATACCCCCAACTTTATTTAACTTAATATACCCCAAATTCATTCCTATTAGAGGCTTTGTGGCTGATTTAGATGTGGTAAAAAAAAAAAAAAAAAAAAAAAAGAGGCCCTCTGAAATGAAAAGGTGGTGAAATTTTATCTTGAAAGCAGTAGCTTTGGTATATTGGCGATTCAGAACTTTTAAATGGAGACATATAATTTGTAAAATACATGATTAATGGATAATAAGCTTTCTCTTTGCAAAATAATTGAATAGGTAAATGTCTAATACGATGCAGTGGCAGTTTTATGGCTGTACATATTCAAAACTAGATTGCTAAAAGCTCTGGAACATATTCATAATAAAGATGAAATTGCACATCCCCCAAGTCAAAAATTCTGGGATTCTCTGCCTTATTAATAAAGTACAGTTGAGCATTTAAATCTTAGGAAAAAGAGAGAAGTCTTTGGTGAAAATATTTTGGCTTCCGACTTTTCATTTGCTAGGTGGGGAAAGCGGGCCACAACATTTTGATAACAAAAAAAAAATCGAAGAACTCTCAAACTAATCCCACACTCAGTTTTATCACCGCCAGTGCATTTGATATGTGCCCATCAAAGCCCCGTGCTGCAGCTACCTGCACGGCTGCCACCCATACGCAGTTTTAATGGGAGTTCAAGGGCAGTGCTAAAACTGCAAAGGCCTCCAGCCCAACTGGCTTGGGAAGTGCCTGTAGCCATTGTGTGATTCACTTTCTAAAAGACTGACATATTAACTAAAACAGTAGGGATTGAAAACAGGCTTAATTCATTTAGGTATTAGTGGGCAACATGGACCTGCACCGAACCGCTCCCTCAAGCGCAAGCACTCACCAGAGCATACCCTGAAGCCCAAATAACCCTTTTAAGAGAGGATATGAGCCGAAAGACACAAAAAACTACCAGCCAGGTTCTGAAAAAGCTAATGGTGACGTATACAAACAATCCTCCTTTTGGAAGGCTGGAAGGGAGGGAAAGGAGGAGTGGGGCGGCGGCGGCGGGCCGGCAAGCAACCTCCCTCAGGAGAGGGTGTGAAGCGGCAGTACTCC